TTTCATGAGTAAATCATATAAGCCTTATATGATTCACTATATGAAGTAGGCCACATCTTATGCAAGTCTTTTATAAGTTTTTACTATTTCTTTTCCATATGGTCTGTGTCTTCTAACTTAACTGAACATCTCTGTGTTTGATTAGAAATAATGTCAAAAATGCACTACAGTGTCATTAATGACTAACAATTGCAGGTTATGGACCGTGCCTGGAAAGATAATTTTCACCAACCTGACGCTGTGTGGACAAAAAAAGCTATTCAGAAGGTGGACAAGAAGTACTTAAAAGAGAAAAAAAACCTTCATAAGCAAGAAGTGAAACTTTTTAAATCAAGAATCTTTTTTGCGATTGGTTCCTGTTTCTAGATAGGTGGTCTGCACCAATCTAGACACAGGACACAGAAAATGAGAGAACATGCAGCCTTGCTGTGAGGCCTCTAAATCTGTTTGCACCTTCCAGTATATACAAATAATGTTAGAAATGTATTACAATGCCATTAATAGCCAACCAACAATTGCAGGTTACGGACCGTGCTTGGAAAGACAATCTGTGCCAATCCAGACGCTGACTGGACAAGAAAAGCAATTGAGAAGGTGGACAGGGAGAATTCGCAAAAGGGATTCGCAAGTGACATGATACCAACAACGTCCACTGCATCCCCAGCATCAGGAAACATCCCTCAGAAGGACAAGGGGACAGGGCAGAGCCTGATTATGTTTTGTCAAATACACTGTGGTGTAGATCCATGGACTAAGAACATGTTGTGTCCCACTAACTAGCTAAGCAGCAGCAACAGTAGGTGACATTACACCAGCAGCGTTAAAAACACACACACTTAAAGACTGGCAGATTGGGGAAAGAATACAGGGAAAAAAACAAGAGAGGGAAAAAGGGCAAAAACATGAAAAGACTTCAAATTTGCCAAAATCAGCTGTTCTTCTGTTTAATTATCCCCATCATGGTATAATTCTACGCTGTCTTCTTATTCGTGCCTCTCTTTTGTGTCTTGTAAACATTGTTTTCTGTTGTCTTTGCATGCATTGCCCTGACCTCTTCTACTATATACAGCACAGTAGTCACTCACTTATTTTCTTTTTTAATTTCACCCATCATCTATTTCTTTGTCATTTTAAATTTTAAAATGAGACAATTACATTATTGGTCTCCATGACTGGTTGTGAAATGCTGGTTTTATGCTCTAGGACTGGCATGTGCTGCCTCCTGCACACGCTATTGATGCCTACTCTTTCCTGTATACTACTTCCTTCCTTCCTGCTCTCCAATACAGCTTTTACCCTTTCTTCTGGTTTGTTCTACTTTGGTATGAAATAAAACTGCCTGCAGTCTCTCTCACGAGCAGCTGTGAGGGACGCCAGTCATGTTTGTACTTATTCTGAAAATAAAAGAAACACGTATTTAACCCAGAAATATACCCAGAAACTTTGTTTTGTTTATTTGTGGGAATTTATTCTAATGTAACTCCAAGCTGTGACACATCTTCAGATGTTCTAACAATATGTTGACATGATTATAGTTCATAGTACAAAGGGGACAATATCATTGTCCTCTTAAATCCTCTGCATTTCCAGTGTTGAATTACGAGTCCTGTTCTGCTCCTGACTGTGAGGATTTGGTTGATGTTTAAAGTCAGTTTCCCAGGATTCCACATGCTAAAACTGCTGATTTCACAATTTAATTGTTAATTTAAAAGAAGGAAATTAAGCTTAATGGTCCTGCGATGTTAGTCACTACACACCCATACAATTGTGAGAAAGAGCCAAAAATAAATGTAACCTCTTGTATGGGTATAGCATATGTGTAAAGGGCTACTGACGAAGGCTTAGCTGAGAACCACCCTTTCATGTATGATTCTGTGGTTGACAGCAGGATGAAAGAGGTGACTTAATTCTCTCATAGATGTTTTAGATAAGAATTAATCAAATTCAAACACTCACTGAATTCAATTCACTAATTGACTGTGTGAAATCCCCACTTTCCTAATTAACATTCAGTATTAATTCACGCTCAAATTCAATGTTTCTTTAAGCTAGCAAACTTTTCAAACTCGTAGTGACAGTGGAGGCAATTGTGGCTTTCAGAGTGAGCACAAAGGGAAGTGATGAGTATCTCTCTGTGTGTACAAGTAACTATGCTTATGTGTGTTTGTATTTCTATACGCTGCTGTTTGTGTTGCATTGTGGGCAGGTCTGTGGTGAAAGGACTGTTTGTCATTTTTAGCTTGTAACAGATGAAGTCAATATTTCCTTTCCCCACTATGTGGCCATAGTGACTATCCCCCCATGATGAAAGGTCTGGGTGGGGTAGGGGAGTAGCAGAGGGGCTTATGTTTTATAAGAGACGAGATCAAAAATTTAATGCTCAGAATGACTGAGAGAACTTCACAAGCTGGAAACGTCATATACCCCACGCCTGCTGCGTGAGCAACACTGCTTTGATTCGACACTCCGTTATCTGATCAAAAAGGAGTAAGATTACTTAGCAGGCTGTAAAGATTTGCACTGACAGAATCAAGACTCAACTTCTGAAGAGCAAACCCAAAGCGCAATACTGAAGATGAAGTCCAGCCTGGTTGTAACCACTCTTCTCTGCTTCACCACCTGGATGAGCTTGGCCTTTGCCAGTGAGTATTGCAAGGAAAGAAAAAAAAGGCTTTTCATTCACTGTGTGGTTTTTCTTCAGGGTAAAAATTAATGTGACTTTGTCTGTGTGACTTTTTCAGGACCCGGAGAAAGCTGTTGTGTCTCGTGGTCCAAAACCAGAGTCCCACTTGACCGAATTGTGAATTATGCCATTCAGTCTGAAGATGCTTGTCGCATCAAAGCAGTACAGTAAGTGTTAATAAAATCTCACACTGTATTTTAACTTGTATTTTAGGAAAGATTTTTTTTGTAAAAATAAAACACATGCGGCATGAAGATTCTGGGTTCAAAGCTGTTGGCCAGCTGGGGTCTTTTCTAGATGTTTGTTTCACCAGTCCAAAGACAGGCCAGTGTAACTAGTCATTCTAAATTGACATCAGGACATGTGAATGACTGTATGTGGTCCTGTGATGGACCGGCGACCTGTCCAGGGTCCACTTTGCCTCTCGCCTTAGGCTGACTTTGGGCGAGAGTACTCTTCCCAAACCTGAAATGTATGGATGGGTATAAAATAATAAAAATCAAATAACCTGAATGTTTTTAAATTGTCTTCATAAATGATATAACAAATAAATAATTTAACCCTCTAAGCAAAGAGATGGTCCAGGAAAAGTTTCTTAAAAACTGAGTGCATATTGAACTAAAAGAATCCTTTTAGATGAGAAGCGAAACTTCTTCATTTAACTGCAGTACAGTCGCCCTCTTTTCAAGTTCTTATGACTACCATGACCTAGATGACCAAGAACGGACTCCGACAACGTAACACTAGGTGTAACTGAGAGGGAACAATTTTGCTATAAATATTAACTTTTAATTTATAGGGGAAGTGAAACGTTTTAGACCAAAAACTCTTTGTCGGAATGTCATTGGCCTAGAAAAGCAACTATTACTGGTAATATTATTGAGAGTCAGGAGAAGCCAGAGCACAGAGAGAATATGCAAACTCCACACAGGCCGTGCCCAGATTTGAACTCAGAGCCGCCACACAGTGAGGCAACAGAGCCAACCAGCCTCTCTTTCTTTAAACCTAACATGTACCAAATATGCCAGAATATATTTAGAAATAATGTCAAAACTGTATTTCAGTGCAATTAATGACTGACTAACAATTACAGGTTACGGACCGTGCTTGGAAAGACAATATGCGCCAATCCCAATGCTGACTGGACAATACAAGCAATGGAGCTGGTGGACAAGAAGAAAGCACCAACAACATCCACAACAACAACATCCGCACCAACAACATCCGCACCAACAACATCCGCACCAACAACATCCACACCAACAACATCCACAACAACAACATCCACAACAACAACATCCAAACCAGCATCCACACCAGAAGCATCCTCACTATCAACATCCACACCAACAACATCCGCACCAACAACATCTACATCAACATCCACAACAACAACATCCACAACAACAACATCCACACCAGCAGCATCCTCACTATCAACATCTGCACCAACAACATCTGCACCAACAACATCCTCAAAAACAACATCCACACCAGCATCCACACCAGAAGCATCCTCCCTATCAACATCCACACCAACAACATCCACAACAACAACATCCACACCAGCATCCACACCAGAAGCATCCTCCCTATCAACATCCACACCAACAACATCCACAGCAACAACATACAAACCAGCATCCACACCAGAAGCATCCTCACTATCAACATCTGCACCAACAACATCTGCACCAACAACATCCTCAAAAACAACATCCACATCAACAACATCCGCACCAACAACATCCACACCAACAACATACAAACCAGCATCCACACCAGAAGCATCCTCACTATCAACATCAGCACCAACAACATCCACACCAACAACATCTGCACCAAGAACATCCACAAAAACAACATCCACTAAAACAACATCCACAACAACAACATCCACAACAACAACATCTACAACAACAACATCCACACCAACAACATCCACAACAACAGCATCCGCACCAACAGCATCCGCACCAACAACATCCACACCAACAACATCTACAAAAACAACATCCACAACAACAACATCCACAACAACAACATCCACAACTAAAACATCTACAACAACAAAATCCTCACTATCAACAACATCCACACCACCAGCATCCGCACCAACAACATCCACAACAACAACAACATCCACAACAACAACAACATCCACAACAACAACAACATCCACAAAATCAAAAAATATCTCTCTGACGAAGTTCAGAAGAAGGAAAGTACAGAGGAAAAGGCCATGAGAGGGAACAAGAAACGATGTGTTTGAGAAATCACAAAACATTTCAAAGTTATCATAGTCGGCAAATGTTGCTCTTTTTTATTGTACTCTTCCTGCTTTATTTCATCAACAGTACCTGATAAAAGTAACATTAATCTCTCTATATATTACCATATATCACCATTCTTTGTTTTCATATTGTTTTTATGAAAATGTACAAAAATGTATTTTAAAGTTTTCCCACTTTTAACTGCCAATAAAGAACTTTCCAGCAAATATTGTGTTTTTGTCATAATCAGTTAAAACAGGATTTAATTAGAATTATTCATACTCTGGTCGCTGTCGTTGCTCGTACCTTTAACTGCACACTAACCTCTAATGTTTGTCAAATGAGGAAACTCTGCTATCTGAACCTACTCACTCTTTATTTACTATAATAAACAGATTTTAATTTAACCCAATCTCTCTCATTTTAAAAACTGACTCGATTACATCATCAGTTTGCCTAGTGATGTAATCATTAGTATCAGTCTGCTAAAACTTCTCAGACTGATGCTTTTCAAATTCAATCACTCACTGATCTTAACTCACTTTCTCACCGTGAAAACTTTCCACGGTTTAAATTACCACGCCACATGCCACCTAAAATGCAGGTCACCTGTGGCTTTCAGATTGAATATAAAGGAAGTGGATTAATCTGTTTCTGTGCATGCACATAGTTACGATTATTTATGAGTTTGTATTTCTGATGCTTTTGTACTTGTTGCATTGTTAACAGTTTAAATATAAATGATGAACTCAGTGGTTTTTTACCTCATTGTGTTGGTAAAATGAGAACGAGCTCAAAGGGGCCTTTTTTTTTTATTAGAATCAACATCAAAACCTGATTGCTCAGAAAGACCACACTAGGAAATACCATGAACGCATGCACTGCGTCTGCCATGTGAGCAAGACTCATTTGATTCGATACTCTGATAAAAGCTCAGGGAGGCACAGAGATTATTTAACAGGCTGTGAAGGTTTGTGCCGACAGCTTTGAGGCTCAGCTTCTGAAGAACAAACCTAAAGCGGAATACTAAAGATGCAGCCCAGCCTGGTTTTAGCCGCTTTTCTCTGTTTCACTACCTGGATGAGCTCAGTCCGTACAAGTGAGTACTGCAAGGAAGAAATAATTTTTCATTTACTTTATAGCTTGACTGTTTTTAACGGATAAAATTAATGCAACTTTTTCTGTGTGTGACATTTTCAGCCCCTATAAGCATACGCAGTTGTTGTGTCGTGTGGTCCAAAACCAGAGTCCCACTTGACCGAATTGTGAATTACTCCATTCAGACTGAAGATACTTGTCGCATCAAAGCAGTACAGTAAGTGTTCAATAAAAAACCTCACACTGCATTTTAACTTATATTTTATGAATATAAACACATGCAGCATGAAGGTTCTGGGTTGAGTTTTTTTATATTCCACATTGCTTCAAAAACCATACTTGTTCAATTAAAAATGACTATAAACTTACAGTAAGTGCAGATGTGAGAGGGAATGGATGCCCATCTCTTTCTGTGTTAACTCTGGGATGATCAGCTGACATCTGACACTGTGCTTTCCGTTTAGTCAGCTGGGACAGACTTTAACCTCACTGTCTTCACCGCTTAAAAAAAGGAATAGATATAATTTAATAAAGTTTATACACTCCATCCAACTATTTTAAAATAACATTAAAATGACAAATAAATGACCTATAATATAAAAACACATTTTCCTGTGGTGATATCCAGTCATTCTGAGAGGTTTGGTTCTACATGTTTGACTATTCAAATACAGTGTCTGTCTTTGATTTTCAACACTATACCAATTAAATTGGCCAGTTGGGACTTTAGTAGTCATGTCATTCCTAACGATCCAAAAACCTGTCAGCAGTGCTCACTGAAACCTCTTTGTACTGGAGGAAATTCTTTGAAAACATGTTCACAGGAAGGCCTTCGAGTTTCAGAAACCACTCTGTAAAGAGATGCTGCAGGGGAAAATATTTGATAAGCAAATTTACTGTGTACTGAGAATGGAGATGTTCAATACAAGCTAATTGCATGCCACTAGCTGCAACAGAGGTGAAAATATTTTTTTTTATTAACTTTTAAAAGCAAGAAGTGAAGCATTTGAGAATCAAGACTCTCTTTTGTAAGAGTGTCCTGGGTCTAGATAGGTAGAGACCACCTATATAGACCCAGGACCCACAACATGAGAGAACATGCAGGCTTGCTGTGAGGCCTCTAAATCTGTTTGCACCTACCAGTATATACAAATAATGTTAGAAATGTATTACAATGCCATTAATAGCCAACCAACAATTGCAGGTTACGGACCGTGCTTGGAAAGACAATCTGTGCCAA